GAACTTCATTCTACAACCAAAGAGGCTTTCCTGTATTCTAAATTATTCTTTGTGAATATTATAGGATAGAGGAAAAGAGAAAAAACGGTAACGCACAGAGATTCCAGTAGCAGAGTTACGCGTTTTGCATGAAAGCTAGCATACGATGGAAATAGAAGCCAAAATAGAAAAATGTAGCAGTCACTCAATTCTATACTACATATTTTTCCATGTTTAACTTTTTCTACTATTTTCGTTCTCCCCTGTCTCAACTAGTATAGATAATCATCTCTCTTCTAAATTCACAGTCATATTAGCCTGAAGTATCGAAAGCTCGCTTTTTAGGTAAAATGATTTTACAAAAATGTTTTTCAATTATATTACATATACTTAGTTTTATAGCTACAATGAGCGGTAAATTAACAGTCGAACAGCACCTTGCTCGTTTCATTCCTGTGGAAATATCAGCAGATTTATCACAACTGAACTCAAATCAGCTTAAAGCGATTATAAAGCTAATTGAAGCGTGCAAATTATTTGATCAACTTTACATACGTCAAGTATGGTCGGGAAACGAAGAAATGTATCGAAATCTACTGGAGAAAAGCAAGAATAACGAAGAAGATGGTTTACTTCTACAATTATTTTACATTTCTCGAGGACCTTGGGATCGATTTACAGCTAGTGAACCATTCGTTTCCGGTGTAGAAGAACGACCAAAAAATGCCAATTTCTATCCTAAGGATATGACAAAAATAGAATTTGAACAGTGGATTGAAACACTGTCCAAAGATGATAGATATCAAGCAACTGGGTTTTATCATATCATTCAAAGAAATGCCAAAACAAATAAACTTGAATGTATACCGTATTCTGAAGCGTACCAAGATTTATTAACACCAATTTCACGTTTGTTAGAAGAAGCAGCTGATTTAATTGATGAAAAATCCTTAAAAAAATTCTTAAAATTACGTGCAAGAAGTTTTCAAACAAACGATTATATAGAAAGTGAAGTGGCCTGGTTAAATATCGAACCAAATTGTCCAATAGAAGGTAATTTTATGATGAAACTCTTGCCTAATTTTCAACATAAATTGAGTACATTTATAAACTTTACTTATCCAACTTTGTTTCTACGATGACGAACGACTCATGAAAGATGGACTTCTGCATATTTTCCTTATATTTTCTTCGCCTCTATTCGCGCGTGTTTTTAATTTCTATGAAAAGTGATCGAGTTCGAACCACTGAAGTATTTGTCCCTAATCTAAGGGGTTAAATTTCATCCGATCGAGTTAAAAGTTTTACCTGGGGTACTCAAGGTCATAGCGCAGAGGCATAATTCTGGAATTTTATTTTAAGCCTTTTTTTTACCGAATTATAGAAAAAATACCGAAAAACGTTCAAAACCCAAGTTTTAAATTTTAGGAACCATATAACTCGGTAAAGTAAGGTCTAAAAGAAAATTCCAAAATTATGCCTCTGCGCTATGACCTTGAGTACCTCTGGTAGTTTAACTCGATCGGATGAAATTTAAGGGGTCTCGTAATGTGACACAATGAAAAATCGAGTTTTCAGGAAAACTGATGAACGGCAATAGTTAGAAACTTTAAATAAAAACGAAAAAGTGCTCCGTTGAGCTTTCAATCAGTTCTGAAAATATGAAGTCTTAGTAAGTTTTAGTTTTTATTCCATAGCATTTCTACGGAAAGCCCAAAATGAGCGGAGGGGTACCCCTAATCTCTTCAATGCAACTCCACAGATCGAATTTGAAATTTGAATTTTATTTTTAAATCTTTCTGTCGTAACATCTAATCTGAAACATTCTACTAATATTCAGTTTTTATTTTCAACATTGTAAATGTTTTAGTTACATGTGGTCCATACGAAACCTATACGGACGAATTATTTTCTTATAAAGCCGCTTTTGGAATGCATGTTCATATTCGTGATCAACCGTATACTGAAAAATTAAACTTTTTCACTGAATCATTATCAATTATCGAAAGTCATCTGCCCGTACCAGATGAATATCGAAATAAAGAATTAAAATCGGTACCAATTGTGGTTGTTAATGAAATTTTTAACGGTGGTGATGCACCGTTGCCTATGACAGTGGCTTATAATTTACCAAATGATGAACAAATTATTAAACAATTCGGTTCTAAATTAACAATTATGAAAAACATTCAAGAAGGTAAATATGTCACATAGATTAAATTTTCATGTAGCCGAGAATCGTATAGACGAGGCATTATGTTGTCGATTAGATAGCGGTTAAGCGAAGACATTTATTCAATATACGATCAAAGAGTTTCACTGTTTTTAGTTAACGTTTTTATGAGAAAGATAGTATGTGATTCACCGACACTATTTCATACAAGATCACGACTCTTTTAGGGCTACTACTGGCAGAAATAGAGTTTTTTCCATAAAAAGTCGATATTGAGCTAAGTCCATGATCGAATAGCCCAGGATGTTTACTCCTAGGACTTACACTGTTTTGTCAATATCAATGGTTTCTGACGTTTTTGAAAAAGTGGTCTAAAAAACTTGAATTTTCTAAAATTCTAATATTACAGTAAATACCGGAATCACAAAGAATTTCAGTGTTGATAATTTGAGAGCAAAAATTTCTAGTTTAAATGAGACCTCTCCCAACTTTGAGCGATGCTTTGCTCAAAAGTTATGACTATTTTTACCAAGAGATTTAGATCTGTAAAACTAAATGTAAAACTACTGCCCAGGTCGTGGACCCACGACCGTGCACTACAATATACGTCAAACTACGGCGAAATACGTCAGTCGTAAACGTTGACAGATACGACGATATGTAAACGATGAATTAAGATGCAGTTACGTCAGTCGTATACGATCGTTTACGACATGTCAAATTTTTCAAAAAAACATCAGAACGTAACAAAGTATACGACCGTCGTAAACTGTAGTAACCCTGGCGTATTTTCATCGTTTACGTTATCGTAGCAGATTTGATGTAAAAATATATTTTCAAAGGACTGAAAAACGGTCGGCACCACTAGTGCGCATGCTATGTTGCACCGGTACGTACTAGTTCCACATTTTCCATCACCGTTTTGTTATATACGATTGATTCCACTATGTTTTACTCGGACTTTTCTTCGAGAACATAGTGCAATCAAATTTTAATGCGTTCGTCGAGCAAACAATGCTTTTGTCATGTTATAATCTCTATCTGAAAGGAAAAATCAGTATGAACTAGAGAGTCATCTAGTAAATTCGGGGTATGTGCACAGCAAGTTCAGCTCTCTGTTCCCTTATCTAAATAGGTCTCGTTTTCGCTAGTCACAGTGTTACACTATCAGATTTTTGGACAAGTTTTCTTTTGAGACACATCTCTCTGGCAGATTAACTAAGTCCGTATATGTATGTCACAAAAAAGAATGAAAAACAACTTTTGACATAAAAGGGTCTCTTAAAAGGGATGTTTGTTAAGATAGCTGAGACGCTGATTTCACCAAATTTTACCCGGTTTTCTCTTCGGGAACATAATGCAATCGGGTCAATCATTCACCTCAGACTCACTTTGAAGTTGAGATCAAAACTTGTACATAATAGTTTTATTAACACGCCCTCTCATTGTCTAAATCCTTTCTACTTGTCATAAAAACCATATTAATAGTTTTTTCTCATGTATTTCTCAATTATGGTTTGCCATATAACTGGCATTTAATCTCAAAATAAAAGTGAGAGCGGTTAAATGTTTTATAGTTCGCCTGTGAGTTT